TTATAAAACAAATCTGTTTATAACCACAAATAATGTACTAATTCAAATTTTAACATAAAAATTTCAATTCTGACTTTTACTCTATATGTATAGCTATTTTCCACCTCAAAAATTGAAATTTTTATTTTAAAATATGTATTAGGACATTATTTGAGGTTATAAACAAATATGTTCTATAAAAATTTTGTGTAAAATAATAAATAATGGTACTTATCTCTTGAGGCTTTTCGTGTTTTTTTTTTTTAATTTATGAGCACCCTGTATATCTAATCTAAGATATTTGTATAACAGTCTCATTTTTTCGAGGGGCAGAACTTTTTATAAAGAGTGACATTTTCGATAAAGTCAAAAACAAAAGAGTTTCTCCTCTTGTCAACTCCATCCGTGGACACACTGTATATACATTATTAATAAACTTTATTGTACTTAAATTCACAAGTTTTTACTAAATTATTTTATTAAAAAAGTAAAAAAAAATCAAAAAATCATTTTTTTTAAATTGTCGATTTTTTTGCAAAAAATTTTCTTGTTAAATAAATGTTTTTAATAAGCTATTTTCATGGGAAATTCAATTCTCTAAATAATTTTTCCTATGAACTATATCGAAATTTTGCTTCGTTTTCGAGCTACAATTAAAAAACTGGAAGGGGTGCATTTTCACTGGAAGGGGTGCATTTTCACCCATATCTCCGGTTTCCACCCTCTAATTTAATAGCACTTCGCGGTTTTTTGATCATACAATAAAATTCTTGAACGTCATAGTTCCTTTTAACCCTGTTTTTTAGATATAAAGAGTACTTGCTCAGAACCAGACCAGTTGACCACCTCCCGAATTATTTGCGTTTGGTGCGCCCTGTACCGGCGCCAACCACGCCAGCCGAAGCCACAATTATACGCTTCATTATTAATTATTGCTGAGATAGGTCTGCCCGCCGGACCCTTGAAATCTGCAAGAGATTAACGCGCGTCAAACCAACTCGTTACACTCCATCACGATGAGTAATATACCGAGACCCCGACGGTGAGGTGGTCGCTTACAAGAGCTCCAGCTTAAAAATCTTAATTAAGTAGTAACGTAATTCATTACGCTGGAGCACACGGAGTCCATATTTTTACCCAGGGGCTTAAGTTGAATTAAAGATCGAGGAAATGGGTAATATTTCAGTTTAAGGTGCCAACTAGGCAGGGGAATATTTAAAGAATTCGAGAAATTTGCATATTTTGAATAAAGCTGTGCTGTACTGTATTTTGTGATGCTTTGTCGAGCAGGCTAGAGTTTACTGAGTAACTCAATGTCCCGAACTGTCAAAAATATAACGAGCGTTCAAATAAAAACGTGGTCAAGTTGGTTCTGAAAATTTGGACGTAGGGCGTAGCGTATAGCAAATGAACTTAAACGTCATCTGTCAAAGTGCTATATCGCCGCTATCAATTTGAATATTTTCGTTTTAAAAAGCGTTTAAAATGGTGTTTTCTCAAGAACAAAAAGTGTTTATCATAGAGTCCTACTTTAGAAATGGACGCAAGATTGATGGAATATGGAAGTATTCTATTGAGGAATGTTTCATAGAATTTCAAAATCAATTTCCCGGCGTTGTTGAGTACAAAATTTTTCAAAGTGCAGTTCAGCGTTGTGTTAATGTTTTTCGTGAAACGGGCAGTGTAACAAGAAAAGAAGGAAGCGGCCGACCTAAAAAGCGGACTGAAGAATTAAAAGAAAATGTCCAACAAATAATGGAAAATGCGCCAAGAACTTCTGTACGTGTTTTATCACAAATGGTGGAAGTATCAGTCGGTACCTGCCACACAGTGTTAAAAAAAGATTTGCGTTTGTTCTCCTATCGTTTAACTTGTCAGCAAGAACTTCATGAAGTTGATTTTCCGCGACGGGCTGTATTTTGTGAATGGTTTTTAAACAACTACGGTGAACTTCATAATATCACCTTTTTTTCTGATGAAGCCTGGTTTCATTTAAGTGGTTACGTAAACTCACAGAATATGAGAATGTGGTCTTCTGAAAAAACAGATAACTTTTTTGTCGAGGGCCCTCTACACGCTCAAAAAATTGGAGTTTGGTGTGCTCTCAATCGAAGGAGGATTTATGGACCTATTTTTTTTAATGATATTCTTACTGCGCAAAGGTATAGAGAAGAAATTATCGCTCCTTTTGTTAACCAGCTGGAAGAAAACGAAATTACAAACTTTTACTTTCAACAAGATGGCGCAAGGGCACATACGGCAGGCGAGACGATGAATATGTTGAGGGAAGTTTTCCAAAATCGACTAATAAGTCTCAATGCTGAACATAAATTTCCACCGAGGTCATGTGATATTACCCCGTGTGATTTCTTTTTGTGGCCTTACCTTAAAAACACTATTTTTGAACTGCCTATTCCTGATTTAAACCATCTGCAGGCTCGACTTATAGACAAGATTCGTGAAATTAACAATACCCCGAGCATCTTAGAAAATGTCTTTAATTCTTTGAGGAACAGGTGTGAAAAGTGCTTGGAACAAGGAGGGGGACACTTTCAGCAGCTGCTTTAATTTATTGTTATAACAAGGAGGGGGACACTTTCCGCAGCTCCTTTAATTGTTTGTTATTGTTATCACGATCATTCTTTAAAATAAAGTTATATAGTCATTAACGTTATTGAAACTGACAGCTGCTATACAGCTCGTTGAGAAATGAGGTTAAGTTGGTCGCTATAAGCTACTCCCTACGTCCAATGCGTCAGAGCCAACTTCGACCACGTTTTTATTTGAACGCTCGTTATATTAGACATACAAAGAATAGTCAACATTGTATTTTTCTACCCTTATACCGGGTGTCCCACTTCCTCCCAAAAAATACACGTGAATATCTCTTAAGTGAATGAAAAAAATTTTCAAATAAAAGTTGTAGGGTTTTGAGGGGGACATCTAATGGCGACCTTGACCATGTCCTTCAAGGTCATTTCAAGGTCAATTTTATTTTTTCAAATGGAAACATATTTTTGACACCAGAACTGAAAAGAGCAGAAAATTTCACATCCAACTCTCTTGACCATGACCTTCAAGGGCATTTGAAGGTCATTTTAGTTTTTTGTTGTAAAATTAATTTCCGCCTTTCTCGGAGGGTTTTCGAGGACGCTGATCGCGAATATGAAGTCAGAATTTGAAAATATTCAAATCCAATATGGCCGACCAATTTTTGGTAAACTTTATTAATATTCATATGGATTAACACTTTGAAAATGCTTCAACCTACGTTAAAACTCAAGGTCGAGCCGAGTATTCGACATATTGGATCCGCCATATCAGATTTAACTATTACTAAATTCTGAGCTAGTCTGAGTTCAAAAACATTTGAATAAAAAATGCTTGCCGCAAAGGGTTAATGGGTATTCTGGAAAATTATGGCGAACCCCACATATCAAAAAGAAAAATATGAACAAGATTAAAGTTTTGCCTGCAAAATACTAGAATGACCTTCAAATGACTTTTGAAACTGAAGGTCATGATCAAGGTTATATCCGGAAGCAAAATTCTCCGCACTTTCTATTTTGGTCTGAAATATACCGGTTTCTATTTGAAAAATTAACTTGACAGGCGACATTTATTTGGATTTTTTGCGTTTTCAGCTGATTCCAGCCCTGGAATAAATTTTTCCTAACCCTAATGAGCTGGTGATGTCTGGTTCCAATAACAAGATAGTGCCCTTCCACATTTTCGCCTCGATGTAAGAAATTACTTTTATGACATTTTCCCAAATCGACGGATAGGCAGAGGAATGCCGCTTGAATGGCCACCACGCTCTCCTGACTTAACTCCGCTAGATCATTTTTGTAGGGTTATCTAAAAAGCAAAGTGTATGTGAACAGACCAGACAATATCGAAGGATTAAGAAATCGTGTCAGAGAAGAAGTTTGAAACATAACACCAAATGTTATTCAAAATGTAACTGATAACTTTGAACACCGAATTGGGCATAGTGCAATGGTTAATGGGAGTCACTTTGGACATTTATTTGCTGTAATAAAATAAACCGTAATACCAAATTATTGTTTTCATTTAATTCCTCCATTTTTTGACAATTATGACAAAAAAGTATCGCTTTGTATATCTGAATTCGTCTTTAGAAGGGCTGTTTATTTATAGATACTATAAAATATAGTGTCTTATTAAAAAAATGTCGGTAATGTTATAGATCTGTCAAGCATGACTCAAAAAAATAGAAAATATTGCAGAAAAATGACAATTTCTATTTACTAATTGGCCTGTTTCAGCGATTTTTTTTTTTCAATTTCAACTGAAAAAAATATATGAATTTTATTCCATAATTTTGAAACACAGTGTATGACCTTTCATTCTCTCCTTAAAATTAATGATTTTTTTTTCTACTTCGTCCAAAAGTTTCTTAGGACAATATTTTTAAACGGATGACACCTAATCTTCTATGTAATTGCTGAAAGATTAAACCTCTGTTATATTTATTAGATTGTGATCTAGAACACCTAATTTATAGTATGATTACTGGAATGGTAGTAGACATATTTTCTACAATATTAATGGAGCACTTATTTCAGTGACAGAATTATATCTTTGAGTTAGTTGCAGATATCTTATCGTTCCAAGAATTACAAAGAAAAAAGTTATTCCGTCACGTCTGATTACTCATCCAGTTGTATTCAGAAAATGAATATGTATTACGATTGTGATGAGTATCACGAAATACTCAACACATGTAAAATTTAAACAATATACACCACTAATTTATTATTCTAGTGATGTACCTCGGCGTCTTATACCTTGACAAATAAGATATATTGACCGTTTTCAACTAAACCACAAATTTATCAGAATGTGTTAATGAGTAATCATCGCCCTTGACTGTCTTGAATATTAATTTAATCAAAAATAAGAGGTCATTGTTACCCATAAATTTATAATGAACAGTAACTGTATAAAAGCCTGTACGGTACCAAATATTGTCAGTACAATCACCACATTCACTAAAGATGTATACCCCACTCACTATTTTTGCTATTGCTTTTGCGGTATCTTGTGCAGAACCACCAAGGTACAACCCAACGCAGTCACAGAGGGCAGAAGCTGCTCCGTATCCATATTCCGGATGGAGACCATCAGGGCCTGAATTTAGACTTCCAGAACCTCACAGAATCTATGGACCTCCTCAACAGCAGCAGTACCAAGCACCAGGGGCTCCCGCTCAAGAGTACTTGCCACCTCCAAACTATGGTCCTCCACAACAAACTTACAGCGCTCCTTCTCAAGAATATGGACCCCCACCACAGGAATATGGACCGCCGCCATCAGAAGAGTACGGCTCTCCAGATGAACCACCTACTACTACTGTAGAACCAGAAGCTACCACTACGGAACTACCCACAACAACCGAAAGCAACGACTTGGAAGCTAAAGACTTAGGTTCTGGAGATGCGGATCTTCAAAGTGAAAAACTGAAAAACGCGGATGAAGGGGTGTATTATGTATACCACCCCAGTGGGTTGCTTCAAAGGGTAGTATATGCCACCCAGGACGATGTGGAGAAGATGGCTTTCAGCGCCAAGTTGAAGTATGAGAATGTGGAACCTATCAAGGGACCTATTTTTACTTACGACCCAAAAACATATGTTTTTAAAAGGTTGTGAAGTTTCAATTGTTAAATGTTAATAAAGTAATTTATTGAAGATGACATAATAAATATTTTCAATGTAAACAAAATTACGTACAAAGGTCTACATAAAAGAGGATTACTGTCAAGGTACATGGAGAACAACAGTGAATACAAAGTAGAAAGAACATGGGACAAATAATAATTGTCATACGAAGGATTACAGCAACGTTATTAGAAGTGGGCTCAAATTCGATTTTAACAAACGGCATACGTTCCGTGTTGTTAAGAACACATGCCACTTTTCTGTTTACGGAATCTAAATGGTTTCTTCTCGGGCGACAATACCTGACGTACAATTTAATTTAGCTCCTCCCAATTAAATTTCGAGGCAGATCTATTAATTCCTAAATACGAAGCCCCATTCCGGCAAATATTCCTCGGAGAAAGTGTTATTTTCCAAGTAAATTACCGCTTATTCATACAAAGTGAACTTTATTAGAATAAATTAACAGGGAAGCCCGACGCTTGAAGACTGACTTGAATATTAAATGCCGGTGGACTGGAGGGAAAACGGTCATCTTTAATTAAGCGATTACGCAGAGACATTGTCTGAATCTCTAAAAAAATAATTTACAAATTAACAAGAGAAACATAACTTCAGAGATTCTGATTTAGATAAAGAATTGCTGGGTATATTAATTTCATTTTTACAAACATTTTTAGGTTCAAAGAAAAATATCCCGCATTCATCATAGCATGTTATTATTATTTATTTTTCAAGTAAGTCCAGATAGAAAACGATTAAGCCAGGTCAAAATATTGGTGTGGAATACATACAAGCCTTAATTAATTAATTTATTTATTTATTTATTTACTTATAAATTGACACACATTCAACAAACAAAGACGTCGATATGTGAAGCCGTTTCTTGAACTATCTATTGATTTTCCTCTTTATTTTGTTCTTCTAGCGACTTATCTTTTTCTGTTATTAATGTTTTTACATTTTTACAATAAACTAATGTGCTTAAATTTAATAATGTATCTTAGTTAATAACAGACAAAGAATAGAACCGAAAAACATTGGTTTTCGAAAACTGTAATCAAAAGTCGACATTTTCGTTAAATTTTCAGTTGACAAATTGAGTATTTTTGTCATCTAGCTGCAAAATACTTTTATATTCTAGAACGCCAAAGTCTTTTTCGTTCTAGCACATAAAACAAATGTCAAAATAATTTGTAATTTCTTATTTATTTAACATTAAAACTTATTTATGATTTTATTAATTAAACAATATACATTTTAAGTAATATAACATTTCAATACAAAACAATAACTATTATAAACAGGACGATTACGATTTATTTTGCACTACATGTAAATTGAAAGTACTTATGTATGTTTTTTTTAAGAAAAAGCTCCTTGAATTTATTCGAAGTAGCTTCATAAACATAACATAAACAATATTGCGAAAATTTATTTCTAATTGAGATGTCAACCACGAAAAATATATCTGACTCCCCTTTTAATTAGTACTAAAAATATTTAATTGCATGGGTTCTGTTAGTAATCAATATTAAAAGAATATTATATTCTACCATTTTCAACAGTGACGAGCACAGGAAATTACATGATTTTTCACCGAACTGAACTAAATAAATTCCCACAAAAATAATTTCTAGCGTTTCATTTCAATAGCGTTTCGGTGGACATCGGGGATATAATTAAATTTTTGCTTCCAACTCCACATTTTTCCAACGCATATCCTTTTAGAGGAACTAATTGCATTTTATGTCGACTGATTTAATAACACACACACACAACGTATTTGTCGCTAGATATGTTTTGCACAAATAAGAATTTAATTGCAAAAAATAAAGCTAGTTTCCGCATTGGAAATATTTTGATAAAGTTGTTGCAAATAATAACAAATTTCAACCTCAATGAACGGCATTTTAACAATGTTGGTGGCGTAAACGTGGAATACGTTATATTTTTTCCTGAAAACTTTTTCGAGCAAAGGAACAGTGAAACCAATTCTGTAAAAATGACACGTCACTGGTTCCTTCTGACGAGGCATCATATTTTCACTTGTGGTAACTAATCCTTTGCAATCTCCAAAGAACCGAAAGGGCTAAAAATAGCCCCTTATCTCCTTAAAATTAATTACCCCACTCCTAACAGACCAAACATTTATTTTTCTCGTGGCATTCAAAACCGTAAACTTCCTCGCTTTGCCACTAACGTTGCCCCCGCTGAAAAATCTATTGCTTGAGAGCAAAAATAATAAACCATCGAACAAAAGCGTTTAATTAGTTTGAGAAGTTAAATGGGTGGATAAAAGAGCTGGTTCTAATTTGATAACGTTAACAAATTGACCATTTACAACTTCTTAAAACCCGTTGCCTGAACTCGCAACTTTCCCGGTTATGAAACTTCATCGTTTGGCGAGAAAATGAGTTATAGTGATAAGGGTTACGGCGAAAAACGGATCTCGAAATAGAAATTGGACCTCCAATCCGGGAATTCATAATTGTCTGGGTTACTAGAGTGTTTCAGTGACACTTTGATTATCATTTTTACTTGAAGTTCTGCAGAAAATAACTTTTTACTCTATTTTAAATACTTTAAACTAATTCATACTTTTTTTTTTCTATTTAGCCTCACTTGTCTCCTTTCTTAGTTTGATTCGTTCTCTTTAATTTGAGCTTTGTTTGGCTTGTTGCTGTTTTATAGTCATTCAAAGCAAAAATGACCTTTTTGATTTCGAATTTGGGATATTTTTTGTAGCCATAGTAGTGAAATTTTCATCTTCAAAAACATTTCTACTGATATATTGACTCGACTGATACAATGGTTTTCGAAACATTTAAAAATTAAATTTGATCTTGGCGCATTCACCATTATTTATAAAATATTTTAAATTAATTTCTTTTCGCAGAAATTCAAATTATTTTTATCAAAAAATGTTAAATATCAAAAGAATGAAAAAAGAAATAAAAAAAAGTCCTGTATGTAGTGTCATATATATTTCTAGATTTCTGGTATCGAAGGACTGATTTCATTTGATAAGATTTTTTATAGAAAAAATGGTTGATTTTGTTCGAATTAGCCGAATACCTTTAAATAGAGTAATAACTCGACTAATAACAGAAGAAATAGTTGATGTGATATAGACGAAAAAAATTACAGTCAGTTAAATTCAATGAAAACTATAAAATTAGGTACATTTCTGCTTTGATAATAAAACAACATTCCTAGAAACAAGGCACTAGACTGAATTTATCAAAGAACTTGCTCTTTCCCAAACTAATCTAATCTCGAATAAATGTTGTGCACTCTTACTATTCCAAGCATCTTGTCCGCTCGAAACTTTCTTCATTAATTCTGTGTTAATACAAGACATACGTCATTTGAGGATAAATGATGTAATAACGCAATGAAAATTGTATCTGAAGAAAGTCCAAATAAACTCTGCGTTTACTTAATCAAAGTCACTACAAATAATGACAATAGTCTCAGAAAACTAATTTTATAATATCAGCAAATTTATATTGTCTCAAATTGTTTAGATATACGTATATATTATGTGGCACATTTTTACTATGTTTTCTTTGTTTATTTGCATGTTTTGCCAACTGTAACAAAAGACCTCAAAATGAATTAAAGTAAGCCTACTCAAAATGATGTACTGAAAAGAACAGATAACCAAAAAAATACGCAATAACTTTAGCCAGGATAGGTTTCTAAAATAAATGTCACATATATTTAAATGTCAACTTAGTTTTGAGAACCAATATGTACAGATTAATTTTCAATTATAAGTTAAAATTAAATGATTTTATATTGTTGGGAAAAAATAATTTCACGAAATATGTTTATAATTGAATGTTCTCTGTTTAAAGTGCATATAAATGCCATTAAAAATAAATAAAAGAATTAAACTCGATAATTCTTTATTACAGTTAAAACAAAAGGTGATAATAACAATAACTAAACTTCAAAAATGAGGCAAACGCTTTCATACTACATACACATTACAATCTATTATCTATATGACCTCTCATTTCAAGCCACATATCCAATCTTCGCTTGACTTCTTTGCGGGCTGCGTAGTCATGATACCCATTGATCTTTAAAATTCGTTGAACGGCTGATTTATCCAAATTTAATTCCCCCAATTTGTTTATTTTTTAAAAGGTCGAGTAAATATTTTTTTGATTTTTTGTGTTTATTAGGCCTTCCAAATACATGGTTAAAATTAATGACGTTATGGCAGAATCACTTTGTATTAAAATAAAATAAATAATAAAATAATATGAAAGTACAAACATATAAAAAAATTTTAACTTCTCTTTTATTAACGTAATAGAAAAAAATGTTATAAAGTTGTTTCTTTGCCATGTCTATAGAAAAAAATAACGTATATGAGACGTTTTCATATACAGATGTCTACAAAACTATTTGCATGAACTCAACAAAGGAAACGTCTCCCTATTCAAGTTATAGATTTCTTAGGTTACAATACACGTCACATAGTATATTACCAGAGAAAAGCAATTCTATCTTCTACAGCAAGAATCGATATTCCAAAGAGGTTAAAGATGCACGCCTGGCGTTTGGTCTATTTTTAAACAGAATGGCCGTTTTATTGAAGCCGCTCACTTACAGTTTAATGGAAGTGGAAATCAAGAACGTTTAAAAGGGGTCACACACAACATGTCAGCACTAGGTGTCACTGTGTATGTCTGTGCAATTTCCTTCCTCACTTACCACCTTAATAATGCTTATATTGAATCTCTGCTTTTACCTTTTCTCCAATCGAGTTTTCAATTGCGGTATTCCGACCAGAAACTACCAATTAATAAAGCCGGAGCTTAACAAACCCCATTACTCTTATCACCTTGCAATAATCGAGCGGGAACAGACGAAACTGCAAGAATATCGGGGCCGATGAACCGCAGCAAAAGCGATTCCCAAGATTAGATATTCGAGGGGAATTTATAGTTATTGTGTACAATAATGGGGAATGT